GAGAGAGAGAGAGACGCACGAGCCCCAACTGGGGCCAGGGATCGAGAGCCTGCAAGAGATACGTGCCCTTGACCAGAATTGAACCCGGGACCCTTTAGTCCGTGGACCCACGCTTATCCACTCACACCGGCCAGGGCATAAACTTACGTTTAAAATATCCATTTCCTGGTAAAGTACACGCCGGGGGCTGGGCTGTGGCAATATGCATGGCGAAGCACTTCTGAGCCTCTTGAAACCTGGACAGATAGTCCCAGAACTGGCTGCTTTCCTCCGGGCCAGCCGCGGAGTTAATTGGAGAGTTGAAAATTCTGAGGGAAATGGTGCCATCTCGTGGTTCTTTTTCAGTATTACAGGCCACATTTTTTTTCCCTTCTTCTTTTTTAAATAGACTTTTTTGGAGCAGTTTTAGGTTCACAGCAACGTCCCACAGGATGTACAGCAGGTCCTCGAACAGCAGCATTTCATCCATTAGCCTATGGGAATATGGGGTTTGTTATGCACCCAACAGCATGGGTAGATCTCAGAGTTGTTGTGTTAAGGGAAAGAAGCCAAACAAAAGGAGCAATACTGTATGACTTCCTTTACAGAAATGTGTAGAAAATAGAAACTAATCCATGGGGACAGAAAGCGGGTGGGTGGTGGTTTGCGGGGTGGGGTTGGGGGGCAAGAAAGACAAACTGCAAAGAAGCCAGAGGAAATGTGCGGGGCGCCTCGGCAAGGTCATAGCGGGTGGCAATGCAAGGTCATGTCAGAAATCGGTGGGAGCGACCGGGCGGGATGGGGGTCTGTGGACCAGCCCAGACGCTTACCAGGGAGGCGGAGGGGAAAGGTACAGTGTTTAGGGCCCTTGTACATGGCGCCTCTTCCTGGGGGCTGTTTGTGATTCCCGGGAGCTTAATGCAAACAGCTTGGGGGCGCTCCTGGCACTTATCACCCGGATCTCGTCACATGACACGTTCAGTTCGGTCTCACCAAGGCCGCAAGGCACCGGAATGTTAAGCACAAAGACACTGGCCTCGGTCGGAGTCTGAATCTCAGCCATCATGCAGTGTGGCTGTGTGACCTCAGTCAAGTTACTTAGCCTCTCTGTGCTCCGGTTTCTCCATCTATATGCATGGGCCTGGGTTTCTCCTGTTATAAGCATTAGAGTTATTATCTGCGAAGACCTTAGCACAGTGTTTGCCACGTTCTAACCCCTAAGGATGTTCATAAAAATCAGTTTTTTTGCTCTTGGTTGTGAGCGATACCAATGATGTAGGTGGCACTTGCCCTGGCCTCCTGGAACTCGCACCTGCGGGTCAGATTTAAAGTTTTGTCAGATCTCTTCTAGGTAGCCTGGCCCAGCTGCCTCTGCACTTGGCCAGCCGTGGCATGAAGGCCAAAGAAGGCTGGTTCTCAGTGGCCACTTTTTTTTTTCATGTTTATTATTGAGATTACAGATGTCTCTCTTTTTTCCCCCCATAGCTCCCCTCCACCCGGTTCCCGGCCCACCCAGGCCCTCGCCACCCTATTGTCTGTGTCCATAGGGAATGCATACATGCATATAAGATCTTTGTCTAATTACCAGGCTTGAAGCCAGAATTCCGGAGGGTGGAGACAGGAGCCACAGGAGCCAAAGGTGTTGGCCTTTCCAAGATTTTGGACCATTTGCGTTTCAACCGACGCCTGGCGGCAAGCTAAGAGCCCTGAAAGGACCTTGAGCTTATTCGGGCCCCTCACCGGCCTCCAGGCCCAGCCAGTGCGGGGTATCGCCCCCAGCGGCCCCTACTCCCTAAGTGTGCCCCGC